GCAGGCAGGCAGGCAGGCAGATGGGCTCAGGGCTGGAGCAGTAGCTAACAGCTCACATCTCAGCTATAAGCAGGAGGCCGGAAAAGAAAGCTTACTGCAGTGGTGTGGGCTTTTGAAACCTCAAAGCCCACCCTCAGTGACCAAGCACTCATGGAAACCATTACTTGTCTGTCTGTCTGTCTGTCTGTCTGTCTATATGTATGTGTATGGCTGCTTGCCTGCATGCATGCCCGTGCACCGGTTGTATGCTTGGTGCCTTTGAAAAGCCAGAAGAGGTGATCAGATCCACTGGAACTGGCGTCACAGAGGGTGTGAACCACCACGTGGCTGCTGGGAATGAACCCAAGTCCTCCACAAGAGCAGCCAGTGTTCTAGCCCTTGTTGTGAATTTCTTGAGACATGGGCTAGCCTGGACCTTGATATTGTAGCTCAGGCTGGCCTCAAACATGAGTCCTAGAACTAAACCTAGGTCCTCTGTGAAGCAGGAAGTTCTCCTAACCACTGAGCCATCCCTCCAGTCCCACGTGGTACCATTTTTTGTTTGTCTCTTTGAGACAAGGTTTCTCTGTGTATCCCTGGCTATCCTGGAACTCACTCTGTAGACCAGGCTGGCCTTGAACTCCGGGATCCTCCTGCCTCCGCCTCCTTAGTGCTGGGATTAAAGGCATATGCCACCAGCACCCAGCATACTTGATACCTCTTTCACAGTTAAAAAATAATTTCCTGCCGGGCGGTGGTGGCGCACGCCTTTAATCTCAGCATTTGGGAGGCAGAGGCAGGCGGATTTCTGAGTTCGAGGCCAGCCTGATCTACAGAGAGAGTTCCAGGATAGCCAGGGCTACGCAGAGAAACCCTGTCTCGAAAAACTAAAATAATAATAATAATAAATAATAATTTCCCTGTAGTTGGCCATGGTGGCTCACACCTGAAATCCCAGGTGGGCTAAGCTATGAAGGTTGCTTTGAATTTGGACCAGGCTGGGCTATAGAAGAACCCATCTCAACGACCCACAGAAGCATTTTACATGTCGTCTAATGGATCAAAATTATATATGCAATATTATCAACTAATTGAATCAACATAAAATGTTTTAGTCTTCCTTTATGCTATGTGTATTTTAGGCTCTGAACACCTATGGATTTGGACCATTACAGGTGTTTGTAGGTAACAGGTACGTCCTGGAGGGTACATAGTGGGTATATGAGAGAGTCCTGAGACTCCGGGAGGCGGGGGGCAGGGCCTGAGCTAGAGCTTCCTTTACTGCAAAGCCTTGTGTGCAGTTGGCTCTCTGTAGAGGCCACATGAGTGAGTGAGCAGGGAAGCTTCTGACAGGAACCACAGCCCCTCCCAGGAGCCTCAAGCCGAGTCAGACCTCACACAGGAGTTGAGGTCAGGTGATGTGACAGGGCACACCGGCCCTCTAGGATGCTAAGACCTGAAGGGCTGTGGCGCTCGGGAGCATTTTGTGCCACCTGAGGCTGTATTGGGACTGTATTGGGAGAGTGTCCAAGCCACCCTGTGGCTACAGTGGAAGGAGAACAGTCAGGATTCAGTGTCTGGCATCCGTGTGGATAAAATGCGGGCCTTTGGCATCCTGCCCGGTCACACCCACTGCCTGAGGTACCTGTGCACAGCACAGAAGAGCAGCATTCTTCCCTGGATATCCTCAAGTCAGTGTTGGAGGGCTGGAGGTGGGGGGAATGGAGGAATGGCCTTCTGGCCCCTGGCCATCCCAAAGGCTCTATCAGCCTCATCTGTAGGACTTGCCTGTGAACTACAATAGCATCTGTTCAGCGACTGAGGAAAAGCAACTCCCCCAGGGAACAGAGGGAGAGCAGGGCCTTCTGGGAGGAGAAAATAAGGGTACCACAGACAGATGGAGGTTAAAGTGGTCATCGGTCACTTATGTCCCAGTTGGAAGGCTCTGGAAGGCCTGTCAAGCCCATTCCCTAAGGACTGGAATGAGAGTCTGTGGTGTGTGTGGTAGGGATGGAGGTGGGGGAGGGTCACCTATCCTTGCTGTGTGACCTGTAGAGCCTTAGTCTCCTCAAACTGTGGAAGAAGAGACTGAGACACGGTCTGTGTAGCTTGAGGAGGCAAATGGACATGAACCCCAGTGTTCAGGCCCAAGCTGGCACCAGGAGGGACAAAGAGGAAAGGAACTCAGAAGGGAGAGGAGAATCCAAACAGACTGAGGTGGAGGAACACTTCGGAGACCTATGTGGCTCGAGCCGGGCAGCGGTGGTGGCACGTACGCCTTTAATCCCAGCGCTCCGGATGGAGGCAGAGGCAAGCAGATCTCTGTGAGTTTGAGGCCAGCCTGGTCTACAGAGTGCATTCCAAGATAGCTAGGGCTGAAAAGAGAAACCCTGTCTTAAAAAGGGGGGGGGAGGGGAAGCAAGAGGGGAGAGGGGAGAGTATCAGGGCAGGGGAGTAAAAGAAATAAAAGAAAAAAGTCTAAATCTAGATGGTTCTGTGTTTAAGAGCTCTGGGTGCTCTTCCAGAGGACCTGGGTTCAATTCCCCAAACCCACATGGTGGCCCACAACTGTCTGTAACTCTAGTAACAGGGATTCCAACACCCTCTTCTAGCCTCAGCAGATGCCAAGCACACAAGTGGTACACGGATATACATGCAGGCAAAACACACACATAAAGAGTAAATCTTCAAAAGAATGAGGAGAGAGAGAGAGAGAGAGAGAGAGAGAGAGAGAGAGAGAGAGAGAGAACAAACACTTCAGGGCTGGGGGTGTGGCTTAGACGGTAGAATGCTGGCATAGTTCCCAGGAGGCTCTGGGTTCCATGCCCATGACCACACACACCAATGTGGTGGCGCATAGCCGTGATCCCAGTATTCAAATGGAGGAGGCAGGAAGAGTAGAGATTCAATGTCCTCCTTGGCTTCATGGCAAGTTTGAGGCCAGCCTGAGCAACAGGACACCATGTCTCAAAAGATTAAACCAAAACGTTAAAAAAGAGAGAAAAAGAGAGTTCTGTGGGTGTGTATACCTTTAATCCCAACTTTTAGGAGGCAGAGAGAAGCAGGCAGAGTTTGAGCCCAGTTTGAGCTACACACCAAGTTCCGGCCAGAGCTACATAATGACAGCCTGTCTCAAAACAAAACAAAACAAAACAAAAACAGAAGCCACTCAAAGCTTCCAGCACAGGTGTTGACGTGGCTGGTGTCACATAGGGGCCAGGAAAGGGAAGCCCGGGGACTCCCATGGGGCCACCTCATGGAGCCATCCTGGCGGTAGTTTTTGAAAGAGGAAAGAAAGCACAGTTGTTTTGAGGAATTTCTGCCACCACTTGGGTGCTCTGAGGGCCCCCAGGCCTGTAATGGGTACGTGGGGAGTGAGAAGGGCCCAGATTGTCATGGACTTAAGAAGGATTTTATGACAAAGTCCTCCTCCATGCACTCAGGACCCTGGCTGGCCTCTCTGAGGCTGACCGCAAGTGTTCACAGCCCACGCTGGCCCGATCACTCAACATCCATTAGCCTGCAACTGCACAAGCTAAGGCTACCCGTAGCCCAATGCACTGTTCTAACTTGGCTACAGAGGCACAGCTGAGGGTTCCATCCTTGTATGTTACTAGTAAAAATAAGTTGAAAAAAAAGGAAAAAGGTTCCTGCTCCCTCCGTTGCCCTGAGACAGCATTCTAGAAGGGCATTGATTAAGGCGCTCCACTGCCATCTGCTGGAAGACGGTGGTATAAACGTCAACTCTTCAGTGGGTGGAGAGGTGGAGCCGTTCCCACTTACAGCATGTGCTTTGGTACTGTGTATGACCCGGAGAACATCACCCACCAGCGGATTGTCCATCTCTCCTTTTACCGCCTTTCAACCAGATCTGGTTTCCGGGGATAGGGGGAAGCTACTGACTTTTTCAAATCTGACTGAATCTACCTACACCAGTTCTCCCTTGAGCCCACGCCCAATGGTCTCGAATTTGTGTCACTATTTAAACAGGTGTAGGAAGTGTGGCATTGTTGGAGGAAGTATGTCACCAGGGACCAGCATTGAGGGTTCGAAGCCAAGAACAGTTCCCAGTTTGCTATCTGCTCTGCGTTTGCAGTTTAAGCTCAGCATTTCCTTCTTTCTTTCTTTCATTTATTTATTTATTTATTTATTGGTTTTTCGAAACAGGGTTTCTCTGTGTAGTCCTGGCTGTCCTGGATCTCATTCTGTAGACCAGGCTGGCCTCGAACTCAGAAATCTGCCTGCCTCTGCCTCCCAAGTGCTGGGATTAAAGGCGTGCGCCACCACCGCCCGGCCTTGCTCAGTGTTTCTTATTCCAACTCTCCAGCCTAGTCTACTTTGCCATCACGGGCTCCTAACTCTCTGGAACCATAAGCCCAAATAAAATAAACTCTGTCTTATACGAGTTGTCTTGGTCCTGGTGTATTTGTTGTTATTTAAAGATTTGTATGTGCATTGACGTTCTGCCTGCCTGTCTGTGAGAGGCTGCCACATCCTCTGAAACTGGAGTCACAAACAGTTGTGAGCTGCCTGCCATGAGGTGCTGGGAATTGAACTCTGGTCCTCTGGAAGAGCAACCAATGCTCATAAATGTTGAGCCGTGTCTTCAGCCCCCAGTCTTGGTGTTTTTATCACAGCAATAGAAAGGTAACATAGCCGGGCAGTGGTGGCGCACGCCTATAATCCCAGCACTTGGGAAGCAGAGACAGGCGGATTTCTAAGTTTGAGGGCAGCCTGGTCTACAGAGTGAGTTCCAGGACAGCCAAGGCTACACAGAGAACCCCCCCCCCCCAAAAAAAGAAAGGTAATATAATATCCATGAAGGCTGAGCTTGTGGCTCAGTCAGTAGGATTGCCCAGCAGGCAGAAGCCCTCAGTTTGCTCCTTGCTAGGGGTATAGGCACACACCCATAATCCCAGTACTTGGGAGGTGGAGGCAGGTGGTTCAGAAGTTCCCGGTCATTCTCAGTGACACATCAAGTTGGCAGGCAGCCTAGGTTACATGAGAACCTGTATTTTTAAAATACCCACCATAAATGCAATGCATTACGTGAGCAACCTAGACTATGTCTACCCCAATGTGACAATATTGTGCTGTGTCCAGCCCACCCAATCTCACCTGTGAGTCTGTCGCCAATCAGCTGTGGCTAAAGCCAAAGGCTTCTGGGTTCTTCTCTCTCTACTTTATGGTGCTAGGGCCAACATCATTCCTAAAGATCAAGGAGATACAGAAAGATGTGTTCTTCCCAGACTGTGCCCTGGCCTTGGTCCTGTGCTTTGGGGAGGGGGGTAACATGCGCTCTTACCTTGGCTTTCAGCTGCCAGGATAGCTTAGTGGTTAAGAGCACTGACTGCTCTCCCAGAGGTCCTGAGTTCAGGTCTCAGCAACCACATGGTGGCTCACAACCATCTGTTATGGGATCTGATGCCCTCTTGTGGTGTGTCTGAAGACAGCGACAGTGTACTCACATACATAAATAGATAAATATTAAAGAAAGAGAGAAAGAGAGAGACAAAGAAAGAAAGGAAGGAAGGAAGGAAGGAAGGAAGGAAGGAAGGAAGAAAGAAAGAAAGAAAGAGGAAGCGAGCAGGGGAGGGGAGGGACCTGCAGGGTGGGAAATGTTAGTGGTAACTGGTAATCCTTCCAGGGCTTTGCTGCAAACCCCCTACCACCTGTGAGCTGAAGTTTCTCAGCTTGGGGTGGGGCAGGGGAGGAAGCATGGGTGTTGGGATAGGGGGAGTCCCACAGTGAGGAAGGGTCCTTAGCTGCTTTATAAGTTTTTGATCTTTTTTTTTAAAACTTTACTGTTTTGTAGGATTTTGAAAGAAAAAAACAGTAAGCTATAGGCGAGCTGTCCCATGCTGTCTGAAGACTGTTCATTTTTAGTCCCCAGGGGCCATCTGCTTCCCTTGGCCTCTGGGAGACTGCGCTGTACATTCCTGAGTGGGTGGGGACACTGTCCTGGACCTCTCTGAACCTGGAAACCTGAACCAGGTTTAGAACTCTGACCCACTGCTACCCAGATGACTCAAATGCAAAAATCTCAGGGAGTGAGGTCATGTGTGCATGGTTGAGGCTTGGGGGAAGGGTGTGGCAGCTTCTCCTGCACACAGGATCCTGGTTGTACTTCTTAGGGTCCACATCCCCCGTAGTTCCTCTCTGGAACACCAGAATGCTTTTTTTTTTTTTTTTTTGGTCTTTTTGCCTTTTCTCCCGCTTTCTGAATCTTTCCCAACAATTCTTTCCTTTGAAATAAATAAATAGTTTGCTTCAGATCAAAATCAGTTCAAAAATACTGCATGGCTTCTCACGATATTCAGAGCAGAAAGCCAATGTCTTCTGTGTGACCTCAAGCCTAGTAACCTCTCTGATCCCCTCTCCAGACGCCCAGCAGCCCCAGGGCCATTGGCCTGTTTCTTCTCTGCCTGCAGCAACCTCCCTACAGGCTTGCTGACCTGGACTTTATCGGGTTCATCCCGCCCAGCCTCCTATTATAAGGCGTCTCCATTTATCTCCCTTTTTTATTCTTCCTGAAAGTAACTGTCACAGTCAAAATATTTGATAATTCGTGGCTGGGGAGATGTCTCATCAGTTAAGAGGCCATATTGCTGTCTCACAGAGGACCAGGGTTCAGAACACATACACACCATACACACATACGGGTATCTCCCAACCACACACGTACGCCCCATACACGTGATAAAAATAAAAATGTAAAGGGATAAGAACTGGAGAGATGGCTTAGTGGTTAAGAGTGCTAACTTTACTCGGAAAGACTGGGTTTTCCCAGGATGCGCGTGCAGTCTCAACTGCCTGTAACTCAAGTTGCAAAGAATTCACGCCGGGCAGTGGTGGCGCACGCCTTTAATCCCAGCACTTGGGAGGCAGAGGCAGGCGGATTTCTGAGTTCGAGACCAGCCTGGTCTACAGAATGAGTTCCAGGAAAGTCAGGGCTACACAGAGAAACCCTGTCTCGAAAAAGAAAAAAAGAATTCGATTTTCTCTTCCGACCTCTGCACACATGTGGCCCACATACACATATACATAGGCGCACACATACACAGAAAAAAGAAAAACGGAAACGGAGCTGGAGAGATGGCTCAGCGGTTAAGAGTATTAGCTGCTGTTGCAGGGGTCCCCACGTGTAAGTTCGCAGCCATCTCTAACCCCGGTCCCAGGGCATCAGACATGGTACATTTACATATATAAAAGCAAATCACCCATACACATAAAAATAATTTTTGAAAAGAAACATTTAAAATAAAAAGACGTGGAGAAGGAAAAAGATTAGGCAGCAGTATAGTACAGCACCTCCATCAAGGGCGGACCAGATTGGCTCCAGTCGCTGGAACTGGCCCCACCGCTCCGCGGGCTTCTCTTACTATGCAGGGGGTTAAGCTGCTTCCTGATGCCCTCGCCCCGCCCCGCACCACGCCCCTTTTCTGGATATCACGCCCCTTTCCTGGATGACCTCTTACGGGCCTGATTAGTTGTTGGTCCCGCCCCTTCCGGTCCCGCCCCCGATCACTAGGCCCCGCCCCCTTGGGCTCTCTTCTCGCTCTCGGGTTTCCTAGGCGCGGGTAGTTCGCGCGGGCCTAGGGAAGCTCCGGTCCCTGCGTCCTGGTCGCCGCCCCGCGACGGCTCTGCGCTGGCGAGGCCGGTGTCGGACACCGTGGCCTCGGCCGGGGCGGTGCCCTGGGCGACCCTGGAGGCCCCCGCCCGCCTCCTGCTGCAGGCGCTGCAGGCAGGGCCTGAGGGCGCGCGGCGCGGGCTAGGGGTTCTGCGCGCCCTGGGCCGGCGCGCTGAACACTTCCCTTGGAATGGCTTCCTGGAGGCGCTGGGCCGCGCAGAGCCCGAGGTGCGGGGTCCCGAAGGCCGCCTGGAGCTGTGAGTCCCCGCCGCCTCCCCCCCCACACCCGTTTATTCGTGTAGTTGAATCAGGGTTCTATCTAGCCCAGGTTAGCCTCCCAACTCCTGCTGCCATCTCCTAGGATTACAAGTGTGCGAGCTGACACTGGCCTGCGACACCACGCACTTTGTCAGGCAGAATTCTAAGTGATTTTAATGCTTGCTTCCGTCTCCAGTTGCTGAGCTGGTCGTGCATACAGCATTCAGGAGGCAGAGGCGAGCGCATGCCTCTCTTGAGTTCCAGGGCAGCAGAGTGAGACTAAATAAAAGGCAGGTTGTAGTGGTGCATGCTGGTAATACCACTACTTGGTAGGCAGAGGCATGAGGATCAATACCAGCCAGGGCGACATAGGAAGATCCTGTCAAAACAACAGTTTTTAAAAAAGGAAAAAGGGGGAAGTGGTGGCGCACGCCTTTAATCTCAGCACTTGGGAGGCAGAGGCAGGCAGATTTCTGAGTTCGAGACCAGCCTGGTCTACAGAGTGAGTTCCAGGACAGCCAGGGTTATACAGAGAAACCCTGTCTCGAAAACCAAAAAAAAAAAAAAATCTTTAAAATAATAATAAAGTATCTCCAGTACAGATGTACTTATGTCAATTGGACACCGGTGTTAACAATACAGGTCATACAGTGTAGGTTCTAATTTCAGCAATCAGGAAGCTGAGACAGGAGGATTGCTTCAACTTGGAACCCTGGGCTGCACAAGCCAGCAAAACTAGAGGCTGGCAGATCTGTGAGTTCAAGGCCAGCCTGGTCTACAGAGTGAGTTCCAGGAAAGCCAGGGCTACACAGAGAAACCCTGTCACAAAAAAGGAAAAAAATACATATATCCCCCCCAACCCCGCTCTATTATCCTGTTATATACCAGGCACCTCTGTGTGATAAATAGCCCTGACACAGAGGGAGGCTCGAAGACATGGTCACTTGGTTGAGGTCACACTGGCTCTAGACTGCTACCTCAGTAGAATCCTAGAGAGCGAAATACATGAGACCATGGGGAAGGCCTGGAGGCCAGGGTTGAAAGAGAGAATGTGCTGGTTACTTGGAACAGTAAAGGGTGGGATGAAGGGTTGTTATACAGTTCCTTCTGCTTCCTGTACCACTTGCTCTGTGAAGCCCTTTCTGTCCCCAAGGTCCAAGAACAGGGCCTGGTGTGTGTCAGGTGTCTCTGACTACTGATCCCTCCATCCTCAGCAACTCTTGGTTGTTTTGTTTTGGAAATAGGGTCTCACTGTTTAGCTCAAACCCATAGAGATCTGTCTACCTTAGCTTTCCAAGTGCTGGAGTTAAAGGTACGTGCCACCAGACCTGGCCACCTAGCCTCAGCAACTCTTGAAGGTACCACCATCTAGTCCCTGGCTGTTCCCTGCCAGTCTGCCCCAAGCGGTATGGTACATGCCTGTAATCAACACTTAGAGTGCTAGGTAAGGCAGGAGGTTTGAAGGGTCAAGACCTGCCTGGATTACACAGTAAGATCCCTCCTATTCAGAAAACAAACAAACAAAAACCCCTTTGTTCTTAGGATCCCACTATTGCTCCGGTTGCCTGGGGTATGCCAGAAGAACCTGATGTCCTTGCTGCTGGCTCTTCGACCCACCTTACCCGAAAGCGGCCTCCGCTCAGTGCTGCAGCTCCAGCGGGACACAGCGTCTGTCCCTGATGCCTGGCTCCACGCCCTCATGGAGTTACTAAGGAGGGATGTTGGGGTTGGAGTCCCTGTGGAGGGATCCTCTCCATTGACCGGAAGCTGTCAGTCACAGCTCCGAGACCTGTGTGGGCGTCTGGGCCAAGGGGGGAGGGGGCTGAAATCGGCCCTGGCTCCAGATCCAGAGCAAGAGGACGGACTCTCTCAGCTTTGTGGGAAACGGAGGAAAGAGCCAGAGGATGAGGCTGAGGCTGAGGCTGAGAGATCCCCTAAACGGTTCCGGGGTTGTGAGGAGGAGGAAGAGGAGGAAGGAAAGGAACGGGAAGAGAGACCGAAGCCGGAGTCATCGGAATCCACATCGGATGCAGGAGGTGTGTTACCTGATACTGAAGGCGGGGCTCCGGAGACTGGCCCGGGTGTCGAGGAAGCCAAGGGTCCAGCTGAGAGTGTGGAGTTGCCCAAAGTTGTCCAGGTATTGTGGTTGGGAAGCTGGTTGAGACGTGTTTTCCAGCAGGGACCTCCCTGTGGTCCATGGAATAGGGAAGGGGAGCGGGTGTTGTGGGGGCTGGAAGGAGTGTAGCTTTCCCTCCTCAGACTGATAGGCTGAGGAGGGAGTTACTAGGAGCAGGAAACACCTGTCCTGATGACCTAGGGTGTGGGTTCAGCTCCTGCTGCTCTGCCTGCCTGGTGGTGTGAGTCCTGCCAAGGGCCAGCCCTCAGGGCCAGCCCGCCCATACAGGATCTACCTGCCCCACTGAGGTTGGATGCAAAGAGGACAGCTCCCATTGGTCTGTCCCTACTCCCCCTTTAGATTTTTTTTCTTTTTTTTCTTTTTTTGGTTTTTCGAGACAGGGTTTCTCTGTGCAGCCCTGGCTGTCCTGGAACTCACTCTGTAGACCAGGCTGGCCTTGAACTCAGAAATCCACCTGCCTCTGCCTCCCAAGTGCTGGAATTAAAGGCGTGCGCCACCACTGCCTGGCCCCCTTTAGAATTTTTATTTGTCTTATATATGTGCCTGCTTGTCCTTGTGAGTGCCACATGCATGTGGGGCCCATGGAGGCCAGAGGAGGGTGTCGGGTCTCCCAGAGCTAGAGTTACAGGGTGCTGGAGATTGTGAGCAGCCCAGTGTGGGTTCTGCAAGCTGGACCCCGTTCCCCAGCTCCTGCCCGGGTGTTTTCCACAGAGGGAGCTGAGAGGCCCTGCTGTACCACAGATCTTCCATGATTGCGCTCTCCTCCACAGGACCAGGTGCCCAGGCTGCAGCAGCTGCTGAAGGCCTTCCAGGAGGTGACTGGCTCTCCCTGTCCACCACAGCTCTTCTGGCTTCTCTCTGTGCCGTAGGCATGGGGCTGGATAGGATGGAGATCTAACAGACACTACAGGGCCAAGTTTGGACAGGCTATCATCCCCTCCCCCAGGAAGTCCTCCTCTGGGAGTGCCTTCCAAGAGTACCCTCTGTGACCTGTCACAAGGACTCTGCCAGCCCTTACGTAGGATTTGCCTTCCCAGGGGCTGGAGGGGCTGGAGGAGTCCCCCGTGGACCTGCAGTTTCTTCACGAATGTAGTCCCAGCCAGGTGAGAAGGGCCCTGTCCTGAGGTCACCCCCACACCTGCCTGTTCCCGTGGAGCTCAGGGGATGGGCTTGCATGCTCCGCCTCTCCAGGCTCCTCCCACTGTAGCGGTTCTCCCTGCTCTGTGCTGTGTCCCCTCCCCCTGGTGTCCTTGTCTGCCCTTTCTGTTGCCCACTGGGGTTGTAGCCTAGCAGTGGCAGCTCAGTGTCCTCGTTGCCCCCCAGATGGAGTTGCTATGCAGCCAGCTACAGCTAGCCCAGATTCCTGAGGGAGGCCTCCTGCAGCTCTGCAGCCACCTGCTGGGTCTAACACCAGCCCTCAGCATCAGCAACGCCTCCGTGCTGGCCAGGAGCCTCTTCCTTGACCGGGTGGGCACAGGGGCACAGAAGGCCAGGGACAATGGGATCGTCTGAGTCCTCGGCAAGGGGCTTGGGAGAGGGGCAGAGGGGTGGGTTCCTGGCTGTATGTTGTTATGCATGTAACTTCTTACCGCCTGGGCCCCAGACGGGGCCTTCAGGTTTGGGAGCCAGCGTGACCCTAGATAGACAGAGACCTGGCTTTTCCTCCACAACGTGGACTGCCGTCTGGAGTGTGTGTGAGGTAGAGTCAGGAAGGGAAGCCGTGACTCTGCCCCCTCCCTTGTGACTAGATCCGCTCCCTACCGTCCTCTGCCTCCAGACTTCTCAGGGTGGCCCTCACCTCCTTCTGTGTAAAGTACACCTACGCCGTCTGCAGGGCTGTCCTCTGTCCCTTGTTCCAGGACCCAGGTGTAGGTGCGTGCAGAACCAGCCCCAGGCTCACCCTCTGTGCCCAGCACACTTCATCCCAAGGGACCTCCTGGGAGTTGGGAGTTCAGTGCATGACCAGTTCCTTCCCTGACAGCGGGCACCCTGATCCTGGCGGCCTTCCCCAGCCTTCCCCAGCCCTCTCTCCTCGCCCGTCTCTGGCCCAGGTCCTGCGCAGACTGAGTTACTGTGTTCTCTTGTAAAGGATGAGTCCCTGGAGCCAGACATGCAGGTCCAGATTCTGGGGTGAGTGTGCAGGCGTCGATGCTAACTCACTCCGCTCTCTCCCCAGGCCAAGCCTTCGTGAGGCCATGGTTTCACCCTTAGGACCGTGTACACGCTCACATATGCGTGCCCACCACAGCACTGGGATCTAAACCTGCCTGGTGCCCTTTCCTCTGGGCCCGTGTTAGATGGTATGCCTGGCATCTTCCGGGTTCTTCTTGGTATAGTCCCTCTAAGAAGTAACTCAGCCAGCATATGCTGCGGTAGTTAATGCGCTGCCACATTCAACAGTGAGGTCAGTCTTGACCGTGCTTATTAACTCAAGCTTGTTTGCTTATTTATAGTTACTTATTTTCAAAGCCAGGTTTCATGTAGCCCAGGCTGGCCTTGAGCACAACTTCATAGCTGAGGCTAGACTTGAACTCCCACCATCTGCCTCCCAAGTGCTGGGCTTACAAGGCACACAGGCCTGAACTCCTCACTCTGTGTCTCTGAGCCTGGTAGTCACTCTGGGGGGTTTTCTAGGTAGTGTGTTAGTGCATACCGTGAGTTCACAGGAAATCAGACATCCAGGGTACTCGGTGTTGCTCAGTGGGAGAGCACATGTTTAGCACATATGAGTCTCAACACTGAGCCGGGCGTGGTGGCGCACGCCTTTAATCCCAGCACTTGGGAGGCAGAGGCAGGTGGATTTCTGAGTTCGAGGCCAGCCTGGTCTATAGAGTGAGTTCCAGGACAGCCAGGGCTACACAGAGAAACCCTGTATCGAAAAAACAAAAACAAAAAACAAACAAACAAGATACGAAGTCAGGCTGGGGAGATGACTCTGGGTAATGGGGCTTGCCACCAAGTCTGGCCCCATGGGTCTCACTCTTAGAACCCACATGGAGGACCCGGATGAGCACAGCTGGAATAAATAGTAAAACAGGTTCCACGGTCAGAGGTGACAGTGAAACACTGCTCAGGAGCCAGACTTGATGGCTCGTGTATCAGATTTCGGCACTCAGGAGAAACTGAGGCAGGATTACTTTGAGTTCCAGGCCAGCCCGGGGTACAGAGTAGGTCCTTTCTGGTTTTCCAAAATGGGCTGGAGAGGTGGCTCAGCGGTTAAGAGCACTGACTGCTCTTCCAGAGGCCCTGAGTTCAATTCCCAGCAACCACATGGTGGCTCACAAACATCTGTAATGGGGTCCGATGCCCTCTTGTGGTGTGTCTGAAGACAGCTACAGTGTACTCATAGAAATAAAGCAGAAAAACAAAACTATAGTGGGGGTGGGGAAGTAGCCTCAAATAATGCCAGCCACTGCTCACTAACCACTGAGCTATAGAGCCTAGGCGGCTTCCACACTCAGCATAGAAAACCTGCACAGATGGTGGGTGATAAAGCGCACGGTCAGACCCAGGATGGTTCTGGGGTCTGCAGCTGCTTCGGTAAGGCTGATGCCGTTCCGCTGTGGACCCCGTGTGGCCGTGGCTGTGAGGACAGCCCTTACCACATGTCTTCTGTGCAGGCAGGTCCTGGAGCTGGCCTGGAGGGAAGAGACCTTCCCGGTGCTGCAGGCACTTCTGGAGCGACAGGTGAGCGTGCTCCCTCAGAGGCTACATAGTCTCCAGGTTCAGGGTTAGGCAAGCAGGCCGCTGCCTCATCCCCGTGTCACTGCAGAAGGCCCTGCAGATGCAGACAGGGACAGACAGCTGACCCCTGGTCACCTAGCCCTGTCTTGTAGTAGCACCTACCTTGGGACTGGCATCTCCGCTTCTCTCTCACATAGCCCAGGCTGGCCTAGAACCCCTGTGTGGTGGAGGGTGGCCTTAAACTCCTGGTCATTCTTCCTCATGCTGGGATGACAAGTGTTCCCCAACACACGAGGTTAGAGTCACATCTTTAAAAACTCAACAGGAGTAAAGCAACATGTTCTGACTGTCCCGGGCTCCCCCGGCCCTGCGCCTAGCTCTCATTGGTTCAGAGAAACAGCACCAAGTTAGGGCAGTGCTCACATCTGGTTACACAGCAGGCCTTAAACCGGCCTTCTCTGCTCCTCTGGGGGCTGAAGCTCACCAGCCCTGGGTCCTCCGAATACTTGCTTTTTGCGTGTGCACCTGGAGTTTGAGCTTAGGACTCCGTACACACTGTGTGTCACCACGCCATATTTTATGTGAACCCCGGGCTCCGTGCATGCTGGCCATGGGCTCCGTAGACAGGGCCACATACCTTGGGCTCCTGCCCGAGTCCTAGGATTATTGGTGTACAGCACCACTCCTAGCTTCTCTCCTGTCTGCATCTTAGCTAATTGACTAATTATTCCCCTTGCTGTGATAAAATACCCCTCAGAATCAACCTGAAGAAGGAAGGCTTGGGTTTGGCTCCCAGTTTAAGGGTCCAGCCTCTCATGTTGGGAGGGGCTCGGGGCAGGAGGCTGAGGCTGTTGTTTACATTGTGTCTCATTCAGAAAGCAAAGAGATTGGGCAGTGGTGGCCCACGCCTTTAATCCTAGCACTTGGGAGGCAGAGGCAGGCGGATTTCTGAGTTCAAGGCCAGCCTGGTCTACAGAGTGAGTTCCAGGACAGCCAGGGCTACACAGAGAAACCCTGTCTCCAAAAACAAACAAACAAACAAAAAAACAGAAAGCAAAGAGATGAGGCAAGGTTGATTGTGCTAGGGTCCCCAGCCCGTGGGATGGTGGCTTCTGTATTAAGGAGGACCTTCCTTCATTGGGGCCCTACTGGAGACGTCCTCATAGACACACCCAGAGATGTGTTTCTTTGGTGATTCTAGATTTATTTATTTTGTGTATTCACCATAGCTGTCTTCAGACACACCAGAAGAGGGGATCAGACCCCATTACAGATGGTTGTGAGCCACCATGTGGTTGCAGGGAATTGAACTCAGGACCTCTGGAAGAGCAGCCAGTGCTCTTAACCACTGAGCCATCTCTCCAGCCCTCTATGGTGATTCTAAATCCACCAAGTTGGCAGATGAAGAATCGCATCACAGTGATTGACCGTGGCAGCTTATGTCCAGGTCAGGTCTCCTTCTCTGAGAGTAGAGACAACGGCAGACCTGGTGAGATTTCAAGATGCCGGGCGTGAAGTGCCGACGGCCACCTGATACTAGAGGGCCTTCGTTAACGTGAAGAGCTGGTGGTGCACCTCAGAACCTCACGAGGCCTGCCTTGTATCAGGCTTCAGCTACTGAGGCAGACTAGAGTCACTGGCTCCCCGTGGCCCTGACTGAGCCTTTGCAAGGGCAGTCGTTCTTCTGTGAGACCTGTATCTGTCAGCGTTCTATTATGACGAAATGCCCGAGGTAAACAGCAGGAAGAAAGGCTGGCTTGTGTTCTCAGTTCAGGGGCTTCTCTCTCTGTTGTTGGCTCTGTTGCTCCTATACCTGTATGAGGTACCGTCATGGTGGAAGGAGATTGTGATGGGTAGGCTTCTCTGGTAATGGCAGCCGAAAAGCAGAGAGAACAGGGGTCAGGGTACCACTGTCCCCTTTAGACCAAGTCCTCCCAGCACCTCACCCTGAGACCAAGACTTTTAATACTTGGGTTTGTGGAGGAACATTCTAGAGCATTCTGTTCAGGAGATGGATAGCTCGGGTTTGACGCTGTCCCATGTCCCAATGCATGCAGGTGGAGATGACCTCTGAAGTGTTCAGTGTCTTGATGCAGAGGCTCTGCAAGGAGGGGCCGGCAGCCACCACCTCCATGGCCTACGCCAAGCTGATGCTGACAGTGATGACCAAGTACCAGGCGAGCGTGAGTGTCGGCAGGGGCTCATCCAGCCCGGATCCCTGGTGGTAGCATGTGCGTTGGGAAGTTTGGAGACCCCAGCATGCTGGCCTTCCTCTTGAGCCGTGTCTCCAGGGTCATGCTGGGAGGAGCCTTGCACAGGCATTTGGTGACAAAGGAGGAGGGCAGCTATTGGGGATTGTGACTGGGGGTGGAGAATGTATGGAGCAGGCTGAGGCAGGGGGATTGCTCTAAGTTCAAGACCAGTCTGGGATACACAGTGAGACAAATACAAAACACAAAAATAAATAAATAAATAAAGCTAGACATGGTGGCGAATGCCTTTAACCACTCAGGAGGCAGAGGTAGGTGGATCTCTTGAGTTTGAGGCTGGCCTGATTTATATTGTAAGTTCCAGGACAGCCAGGGACCTTGTTATCCAACCCCTCCAAATTGGTGGTAATAATAATAATAAGCTGGGCGGTGGTGGCGCACGCCTTTAATCCCAGCACTTGGGAGGCAGAGGCAGGCGGATTTCTGAGTTCGAGGCCAGCCTGGTCTACAGAGTGAGTTCCCGGACAGCCAGGACTACACAGAGAAACCCTGTCTCGAAAAACCAAAAAACAACAATGATAAAAGTGGGGAGGGCTAGGGCTAGCTTGGTTGGCAGAGTGCTTGTCTCGCTTAAAACACTGGGCACAACTCCTTATACTTTGTAAATTGGATATAGGGGCCGGGGCACATAAAACCCCAGCACTGAGGAGGTGGAGGCAGGAAGGTCGGAAGTTCAAGGCCAGCCTTGAATACAAGACACTCCCTTTTCTCTTTTTTATAAAACAGAACGTGTCCAAGGCCAAGCTCTGTACATAGCAAATGCAAAGCCAGGCTATGTTATATGAGAGGTTCTCTCCCGTCCCAGCACACGGAGAAAACATGGACGGCCACGGGCTGGGGCTGGTGGAAAGCTGCTCCTGGCAAGACGTACAGCGTGAGCCAGGACTGACCTGGGAGTCTTGTACCCAGGAGCTAACAGAGGCAGTGGAGTCTGGGACGAGGCCGCAGGCTGCTATGACTTCCTTACCGCAGCCAAAGCACTGTGCAAAGCCCTCCGAGGCTGCGCTCTTAGCCTGTCCTGTGCGTCAGCCCTCAGTCACAGGCGCTCCTGCCGCCTCACCTCCCACCTCGCCTCCCACCACCCATTCTGCTGGGGCTGTGGTCTTTTGTCTCAGTGACTGTGTAGCAGCTCCATGTACAGGCATGGTTTCTCACCAAACCTGGAGCTCTCTGCCTGGCCTGGCTGGCTGACCAGCGAGCCTAGGGACCCTCCAGCACTGGGGTTACAAGTCCTACGAACATGCCTGGATTGATTTTTTTTTTTTTTTTCTGAGACAGGGTTTCTCTGTATCCCTCCCTGGCTGTCCTGGAACTCACTCTGTAGACCAGGCTGGCCAGATTGATTTTTAATTCCGCTGTATTTATTTATTTATTTTTTTTAGATATCTGTGCATGGGTCCTCCCCCTCTCTGTATACACACACACACACACACACACACACACACACACACATCCATGTACCACGTGCATGCAGTGCCCGGGGAGACCAGAAGAGGGCATCA